CTTGGCAGTTTCTTTCCCATGTTTTATATTTACCTGAAATTATATCAGTGAATGTATGAGACTGACTATATTTTTTCCATTGGGTAAATTACTGATATTTTATTGACAACAACACAGTTAATGGTGAGGCTCTTATCGGTTTCTGTAGAGATTCCTGACCAGTTTACTATATAGAACAAAATGTACGTCTACACAGGTTCTTGACACCAAGGCAAAACTTCCACTGCTGCAGGTTTGACGTAATTGTTCTGCAATGTGAAACTATCAGAAGAGCATTGTAAACTTTGAAATAAGTAAGCGATAAGCTTAAAGGCAAATAAGTATGGAGGCTTGACAATAAGGAACTGATTACTGATCATCTACTGGTTGGGCAAGAAATGTAAAGACGCCAGTAAGGCTTTTAAGAAGCCGCATAAGATTATTTAAAGCAGATGAATAATAAAAAACACATAAATAAATAACTAAAAGAACTACAGCTCGGCTTGTTTTCAACACTCTGTGAAAACATGGTGGTTCTGTGCATGCCCAACAAAAATTACCTCATACTGAGATATAAACAAATACAAAGATGGAAAAAAACAGCAGAAAGGTAGCTTGACTGAACAGCCTTTGATGCTATTCCCATAGGCATCTTAGAGTCTGCTAGTATAAAGCAATTTAAGAATATATCCTGTGAGATTAGATAAACTTGTCCACTGCTTTCCCTTGTTTCTCTGACTTGCACTGGAGCATTGTGGGTAATGGCAGATACTGTATAAGGTATGGAAATCAGTAACCGACTCCTTACTACTTACTATACAGTATAATTCAGCAGATACTTTGGCTGATTTTCTCTATGAACAGAAAAAATGTTTTACTGTATAAATAACATTTGAATGTTCCCCACATCAGGTAGCATATCCCAATATCATTTTATCGAATTACATATATCATTACAGAGTACTTCATAAGGCTCTTGTTGTTATCCGACATTTAAGCTCCCCTTGTCTGTTAAATAAGGAATATAAGGTAACTTTTTGCAGGTCAAGGTGTGTGATTTTAAACTCGGAGAACAGCCGACAGTACGTGCGTGCGTGACTGCAGAAGTTGTGTTAAAGGAAGCACCCTGGGGCTGGGGGAGGGGACCATCACTACTTCCGAATTCCTAAAACCCCATGAATCCAACTTTAAGGTAAGAAGGAGTTCAGAGTTGCTGAATAAATTTCACTCGGGTTCCCAAAGTTTTCCCAAATCTGTCCTATTTCACGGATACAGATATGTAGACACATGCAGGCAGTTTGTAGTTATCAGGGTTGCCAGGGAATGGGATATTTAAAACGTCCACATTTGTAATTGCGCACGTGTCTGATTTGTGGGATAACGTGAGCTTGTAAATTTCTAAACAGAGCTTGACGTGCTCCCTGAAAATCATCACAGCGCCTCTTTGATGTTATATAATGTCGCCTGTGTTGGAAGTTGATCTTGAATTTAAAAAACAAAACAAAAACAAAAATACACAACGCATCACTGCTAACTCCATGCTATTTTCAAAAACTTACAGTCATGTAGCTTAGGTAGCAGTGTGAGTGGCCGCTTGTGAAACTTAAAAACAAACACTCGTTTTCAGTTTCATGTCCACACTTACTCAGAAGCAAATACAACGATTCAACTTACCCCAGAACCACCAGCTCTCCGTATTTCACTAGGTCTATGGATGGGGCGCAGTGCTCCTCTTGGCTTAACGAAAACATGAGGCTCCTGGCTTCACTTCACTGTTAGCTTTACAGTAATAACGGTTCACAAATGACCTAAAATTCCTCCTTAAAAAGCGCGACGCAGACTCGTTTCAGATCGCGTACACGGCAGCATGTGTTTCAGTGTTCTCACGAATCAAGTTTGCTAAAAATAAACTGGTCTGAAACTTCCTCGGCGTGACATAGCAAAACGTAACTTACTTGGCGGTTGAATGCGCTCTAAAGCAGATACAAAAACAGCGAGGACCAGGGCCGGAACGTACCATTCACTTCTAATTTACTTTGTATAGGGGGGGCTCTCTACCTACGCCTTGGTTAAAATGGTATGCCTGGTCAAATTTTATTGTATCTATTCATTAAACACATAGACAATAGTACATGAGAATGCTTCATCTTTAATTAATTCTCGTGTAGACACAGCAGTTGAATATACATTGTAATAATCATTTTTGAAACCACCCGTCTTGGTTTATGGATCGCACCTTCTGTTATGTAAACAAAGAGTAAAATCTGGGAATTCTTAAAGCGATCATACTTTTTCCTGACGTGATTGCAGTTTCCTATATTTGACGGAAATAAAGGTTTAAACGTTTTGTAATTGTATTTACATTTCTATTATTTGCTGTTTCAGCAAAATGTGCCAAGGATCACATGATTTATGAGTGCAGTAGTTATGCCTAGCGAGGATGGGACATAAAAAGTGGGAAAAGACATGGTAAAAAAAAAAACTATTCAGAATCCTCCTGGTACATTTTCTGACTGAGATAACAGCGAGTGTGTGAAAAAAACAAAATTGTGGAATCAGATTTTGTAATTTTGCTGGTAACCCCCTAGGCTCTTGTGTTATTTGATTATGACTTTATTGCAGCTGGCTAATGCGTGTGATTGATTGTGCAACTTAATGACATCACTACGGATGTGCATGCCTCGAGGTTTTATTTTCACCACACTATTGCTCATTTTTGTCTCTGTTTTCAGCATGAAGCCTTTTGTTGGCTTCCGGTCCGTGAGTGCATGCTTATTTCATTCTGTAATGTCAGTCAACTGGCTGATGTGCATTAGTCAAATAATAACACCAAGGCCTAGTAATTTGGCTAATTGCTTTTCTGAGACTGACTCAGAAATCTAATTTATCCAAATGTCCACACGTGACGCTACTAAGAACCTTTCAGCCTCTAGTAACACCTCTTTTAGTACATCACACATTCACTTTTCCCCCCTCATGCTTTTCTGGTGAAAGTGCCACTTTTGTCTAGCAGTCTCCTCCACGCTTTAATGGCTCTGTCTTGTTTAACAGGAATCTGCATGGCTGGAGGTGCTATTACTGCTTCAGCCCTGTTGCCTCTGCAGTAATGGTCTTCTATTTGAACTGGTGTCCAGTTTCAAAGTGCAATAACACCTACAGAAAACAAAATGTAGTCAGGAAATACAGGAGCCGGAAGGGGGGGAAAAGCCTCCCCACCCTCGCGAACAACAATTTTAAACTTCACCACAATAAGACAGAGTATTGTGCATTTGTAAGCATTACAAGTCAAATATTTGGCATTTGTTGAATCCCTTTAATGGTGCCACTGATAGCACGGATTAACATCAGCTTCTTCGGCATTTGTGCATAGGGATCAAGCTGCATTTGGCCTGGAACTACAAGGGCCAGGGACTGATCTTAATGCTGTGGGTATAATGAATGTTTACTCCTTTTTTGTGTCACTGTCTCCTTTCTCTTTGCTTTCATCCGCCATTGTCTTTGTAATAGAGCTCTATGGTCTTTTCTGTGTCTGTCTGATTCACGTTCCCACATGCATACCCACAGAAATACATACACACAGATTTTTTTTTTCGGGGGGGATCAAAGGCTTTCTACCACATACCACACTGATAGAGAGCAGATGCAGGGAGTGGGCTGCTTTTCTGGAGCTGTGCTGGTGTAGTATGAGTGTAAATCTGTGTTTAGGGGGAGGAGTCAAGCATTAGCAAGCAAGAAGCATGCAGAGCAGAGGCGTACTGCAACAAACTAAATTGCACAATTGAGGGTATGAGTGTTAGCAAAGGAAACACAAGGCCCCTGTCAACTTCCTCACTGTTCTTTGGCAGGCTTTACATGATAGCATCTCTATGCAAGAGGAGAAACGATGAGCATGTGTCTGACAAAGTGAAACCTCAGATTTATGACATTTTAAAATCTCTGCAATTTCCACACAAAGGAACTGTAGAAAATATCCCTCATTTTAGATATACTATCAAACGTGTACATTTTTAGGCGTGTAAGCAGATGACTGTATATTAGGAAATACCCACTTTGCAGTCAGTTGTGCACACATGGCAGTCTGCAACAACAAGCTGTGAAAGGTGCTTCCTGTGCGATCCAGTTTAACAAGTATATCAAAGATGCTGTGAAGCATATTTGTTCGCGAGGTTTCCATGAAGGCAACAGCTAGACCTCCAGTCAGCTGACTGGAGCATGACAGTGTGGGAGAATGTGAGGAATGTGCTGATTCCATGTTGCCCGTGTTCCTGATCTGACCCGCACCCCTCCTCCAGGCAGCACAACAGTCCTGTTGTTTTAAAGGCCTTTTAACATGCAAAAGATGAGAGCAAGAGCTTTCTGTGAAGAGAAGTCACAGTCAAGTCATGTCTAGTCGCATGCAGATTTATCCTTTTGTCAAAAATAAAAAGCCGGAGGTGGCAAAGAAAATATGGAAAATTTAGAAAGAATACACCCAGGTCTTTGTGCCTTTATAAGGGCTCAAGTAAAATGGTAAAATTTCACTTTCAAATGATCACAGTAGAGTGGTACTTTCCAGCATTACAGGTGTCATCCTTGGTAGGTTCTAGATTTTAGCTACTAGTTCTTTCATAAGAGTTGTACCGCTGATAGAATTTGTAAGCCTCACACGAAGCAGAAAAAGTGTCCCATAGTGAGGGATTATACAGCATGTTACTATCACAGGAACCTGGTCACACCCCAAATGTTTCATTATTGAGGGCACGCAATATCAAGCTTTTTTACTATTATACAAAAACACTTACCCGGAATAACGCCTCTGCATGATGGACATGTTTATTCTGCATTGTCATGTTGAATTTACCTGCTAGCAATCGCACCATTAACAGAAGCTTTGTGACTTTTCCTTTCCCCATGTTCAGGATTGTTAAAGCTATAAACAAAATCAATTCAAGTTCCAACTTAGGTTATGTGCTGCCCCACTGTGGCGAGAAGAGGGAAGTGCATTGGTAGAAGGGGGGGGGGAAGCAACACAGGAGGCTGAAAAGATTTATCAAGCATCCCTTTTATTAACATCACCCGTTACAAAAAGAACAAAATCTTCAGTGTTAATGATCTTAGCAACAATATAGCGAGTGCTGATTACAGATGATATGGGACGCTTATTCCTAGAGTAGTTGCAGTAGGATTAAAAACCCCTACACTGTTGACCTGGCCGTACACAGCCAGGGTCACACACACTCCCTTCTGTTTGGAGCTACAGTACAGACTTGAGTACAATTTGTCCATGCATCTCCATAGTTACAGTCACGTAGTGACCCTTCAGATATGCTGAGACCTCTTCTGATCTCCCTTCTCCCACCCAGTACTGAGCCAAGGTATAACATGGAACTATGAATGAATAAATGCATAATGGATGCACAGTTGGATAGTTTTCTGATCAGGAGGCATACAGATCAACAACATAGTGTATTTCAGCAGGTCCTAACTGATACATTTAAACACTACATATCTTTAAGTTAAGAAGAAAAGGACTGTAAAACCAAAGTTTGTTTAGTCGAGTTGGAAATTCGTATCACTGCCCTCTCTTAAGACAAATAACAACAAAACTACTGCAGTACTCAAAAGGATTTCAGTGAAAAATACAAGCAATTTAAAACAGAGGAATGGTTTCCACATAGTTTAAATTATGCTGGATGTCATTAAGTTTAGAATAAAAATTAACTGGCATTGTTGCTAAAAGAAGAGGAATGTGGTGGGAGTGGAATAGTGTGTATTTTGGTATAGTGCCTGGAGTTAACTGTAACCTCTGCCTGCTCCTCTGTGGCCAGCAGTGAGTCTGGGAGTGGTCTGCCAGCGTCTTGGCCAGAGTCAGTTTGAGGCTGCCTACAGTACAAGTGCAGTGATAGAGGTTGAAAGGGAGGAAGTGGCTGGGTGTGACAGTATGCTGTGATGTGGTCAGGATGAGACCGAAAGTCAAAGGTGGTCTCTGTAATACAGTCAGGGTGGCTGCGTGGGGGCCTCACTATACCTTGGGCAGATCTTTATCAGCCTCCTGAGGGAAAGCACAAACATTCAATTGCAAAGTTTAATCTTCGTTGGCAGGAGGAAAGACAGGAGTATGATACCCAATTGTGAATAACAAAGAGCACGATCAAAAGGCCTCACCCCCTCCTGTCTCTTAGTGAGTTGCCGGCTGACAGTTTGTAGCAGCTGCTGCAGTTCGGTGACTGTCTGACCCAATCCTGCAGTCATTTTCTCCTTTCTGTCAATCTCCTCCTGTCACAAACACAATTTTTTGGTCTTAACATGACATTAAAAGGATCAGATGTCGCAACATAAACATTATTTGGTGTCACAACAGTGTTACAACAATCAAACTGCCCTTACTCTTTGTGATGACAGACTGCTGTTCTCGATCAAGTCATCAGCATTGTCTGTCACTTTTGAGAGCTCTCCTTGGATCAGATCAACAGACTGTTGAGCCTGCATGAAGGGACAGAAATTTCCGCTTGTTAGCATTGGGGTCGGCAGTTTGGCCTTTATCAGAAGTGTAATGAAATCCAGATCATTCCTGTTACCTTATACAGGTCACCGGCCACTTTTTGCCTCTCGTTTTCTTCTGCCTCCAGCTTCGACAGCGTCTCAGTGAGCTGGGTTTTCAGCTGGAAAGAAACCAGACATTTAGATATTTTCCACTGTTGACCTGGCCTTTGAGTCCCGCTTCTAGTTTTTCAGAACATATACAAATCCTCCTGCCAACATAACTACATTAAACAGTTCAACATTTGCACAGATTTCATTTTTTCCCTGGACCTGCTTAGACAATGTTCAAACCAAAAATAGCACTAAGCTCATGTGGGCTTTTTGGTACAAGCTGAGAGGATGAATCATAATCCAGGAAGTCCTGTTTAAGTAATAAAGTAATTCCCTAAATTTTATCAGACATCGTAATATTTCGTGTGTACTTCAGAAGAAATGACTGTATCACTGATAATTTTCCAGACTTTGTACATTTCTGTCTCAGTTTTTCCACAACTGTAAGATAAATCCAGTCATTATGTCAATCACTTAACACAAGAACAGAAGGAATGCACACCAATTGGTATGAACCACATAGCAACGTGATTGTCATTCTTATAGTGCTATTGTTGAAGTGAACACAGCCAAAATATTGCTTAAAACTACTAAAGATTCATGACCACCGAAGACATTCAGTGACTATCAGACAAAACAGACGCAAGGCTTGCCTGAAGGCATCAGAGAAGTTAAATTATAAGTGATAGACAAAGAGGAGGCATACATTTGGCCTGGAAGAGAAAGAAGATTTTTAATTAGCAAGCCATTTGTTAGACACAAGTAGAGTGCAGGTGCAGAAAAAGAAGAGTTAGTATTATAACTCAAAGTAAAGGTGAGTCATCACTCAGAAGCTGTAAATCTCCACCCCCCCAATCTTATTCATGACTCCACCATACAAGTCCAAATCTACAGATTTTGTGAATGATGACCCACAGTTTGGCAGTAGATAGAGAACCCCGTTCTGTTGCAGTCAGTGTTGCGCCACTGCTGAGTGCAATAAAGGCACTCAGCAGTGCCTTTATTGCACTCAGATTTAAAGGAGCTCTAGATTTAAAGGAGCTCTAGCTAGAGGGTGAGCAACGCTTACCAAAGTCAGCTCCTCATTCTGTCTGATAGCCTCTGTATATGAGCCATCAAGTCTGGTCTGCAATTCAGTCAACAGATCTTTGAGCTGAAATTGAGTTTGACAGGGTTTTGTTTAATGTGGGTCTGTCATAGGTGAACCAGGTCAGCACTATCAGCACACAGTTTATGCAGTCATAAGGCATCCACAACCAAAAAAAAAAGTCACAAATGAAGCAGAGGGAACCAGTTGTGCATGACTGCAGATGACCAGATTCATAAGTGATTAAATTCACACAAAACAAAAACCTGTGCTGTGTGAACTTTATATTCCCAGAATAAACAAACTGTGGGATGCCACAAAACACCACACATGGAGCAGTTTTCACACATGAACTTTGGACAATTTCAAGACTTAATTTGGGATATTTCTCATAGTTATCCGTTTCTCAGATGTAGCACAGAGCAGAAAATGCTGAAATAGCCTAAATTGGACACATTTGCACTCATGGAAATACTTAAGTCTTTTTAAAGTGAGGGGGCTGTGTGGGTAGAGCCTTGCACATGACATTCACTAGCTAGTGGTGAATGCACCAGGATGTTACCTGTGCTAATCACACATCAGTGCGATCCGACATTACAAAGACTTTTAAACTGCCATCTCTGTAGTCTAATGTCCAATCGGACTGCATATAACATTTGCAGTCTCAACGCAACCTCTGTTGGGTGCTCTCTGCAAATTTTCAGGGTAAAGGTGCATGTGTGAAAACAGCTCAACTGTTACACAGAGGTCGAATGTTCACCTCAAGAGGTTAAACATGACTGGAAGTCCAGTTTCTGCTCACCTCTCTGACTTCTGTCACATAAGTGGCACTCTCGCGCTCCGCCCTCTCCAACTCAGACTCCAAGTGCTGTTTTTCTCTTCTCAGCTACAGAGCACAACAGATGAGCAGAGATACAAATGACAGCCGCTCTAACAGGACATTTGCGAGTGTACATTGTAGACTTTTTGTGTGTTTGGTTTACTGACATTTTCCAACTCTGCTTCATCAGTTAGTCTCTCAACCTCTTGCTCCAAAGCTGTGACTTTCTGGCTCATCTGAGATCAAAGAAAGAAGAACGATCCAGTGAGAGAGAACTCTCAATATTTCACTTCAGTGACTCTGCATTTTGGAGTTTTATCTCTTGCTAAACCTGAATCCATACCTCTCTTAGTTCTGCTTGCGATAGCTCCAGCTTCACCCTCCAGCGAGACTCCTCCTGCTCCACACTGTTCTGGAGGCGCTGCAGGATGCCCTCCTGTGGACACAACAGAAATGACAGCTCCATTTGGAAGGGAGATCACTGTGCTGCCATAATGGCAACTGTTGGCAACTCCCTCACCCCCCTAAAAATAGAAAAAATAAAAACAAACACAAACAAACCCAAAAGTAAAATAAAAATAACTCTTACTGTCTCTGCCAAAACCTTCTTGTACGTCTCACAGTCTTTCTGTAGAACTCTTTGAGTTTCCTCAGCTTCTTTCAGTTTCTCAGCCAGTTCCTAGAAAGTGGATCGTACTTACTGATGGGCTCTTTTGAAAAAGGAATGATGTTCAACTTTGCATTTTTTCCAAATTTACCTCTGAGTCTCCTGATCCAGGGCTGGATTGTGGAGCTGAGTTTTCACCTGCTGCCCTTTCAAATCTTTGGAGCCATTCTTGATGGTTCTACAGGACAATTAAGGTGGAAAAAAGAAGTAAACATCAACCCCACAACATGTAGCTGTAGTGTACAAATGCATTTAGCATAGAGGTAAATGTTTCCTCTCATACCTGTTCAGAAGGCAGAGGCACATGTGGCAGAAGTCTGTGCAGAACATCTCGGCACTCAGCCTG